GAAACCTCTCCCTTTCTCCTCAGCATGGCTGGCTCAGGAATTCTGGGAGTTGAAGTCCACGAGTCATAAAAGAGCCAAGGTTGCCTACCCCTGGCTTAGGAGAAGGCAAATAAACAAGCTTAGTGGTGCAGTGGTTAGAATGCAGTATTGCAGGCTAATTCTGATGACTGCCAGCAGTTCATTTCTCACCGGCTCAAGGTTGATTCAGCCTTCCATTCTTCCAAGGTCGGTAAAATGAGGACCCAGATTGTTGGCAGCAATATGCTGACATTGTAAACCACTTAGAGCAGGAGTCTTCAAACTTGGTAGCTTTAAGACTTGTGGACTTCAACTCCCAGAATTCCTCAGCCAGCCCTGGTTGGCTGAGGAATTCTGGGAGTTGAAGTCCACAAGTCTTAAAGTTGCCAAGTTTGAAGACCCCTGGCTTAAGAGAGTGCACTATGAAGCGATAATAGATCTTTCTATTTAAACAGCAATAAATCAGCTTGTTTGAATTCCATTTCATAATTTGAGCTATATGCTATAAGAGAGCGGAGGTAATAACTTTGGGAATTTTTCGACGTTATCGCTTTCTTCTGACTTTTCCCTTCTTTTACAGGAAGGTAGAGGATTTGCAGTTCCGAGTTGAGGAAGAATCCATTACAAAGGGAGATTTGGAGGTAATCGACAGCATGGCCATTGTTTATTAAAATTTATACACTAGCCTGAAGCATTGTTGATCTCCTCTGTACTGATTCCTCGTTAACTCATTGTCTTTTAATAAATTGAGTTTTGATCGGCTAATGCAGGCTCTTACATATGTTTTGAGGAATAGCATAGGCAAAATAAGATTGAAGGGTACCCCACAGAGAATGCGACTAGTCTATTCTTACAGTCAATAATTAAAAAGAGGGATTCCAGTTTTTATTTGCTTATTTCGAACAATTTTGGAACTTGTTTGGCTCAGTAAATTAGTATACAGATCAAATCATAAGCAAGGGTGAAGATCATGTATGGGCATTTCCTTATTCTAGTTTTATTTCTAATTTAAACAGAATCTGTTTTGAGTCCTAGTAAGTAGGGAAAATGGTGTCTCCAGCTTACTCCACTTTGTAAGCTCTTATTTCAACAAAGATTATATAAAACCCAACAGGATTCTTATATTCACCTTCCTTCTAGGACAGGAATCTTCAAACCTGGCCCTTTTATGACTTGTGGACTTCAACTCCCAGAATTCCTCAGCCAGGCACACTGGCTGAGGAATTCTGGGAGTTGAAGTCCACAAGTCATAAAAGGGCCAAGTTTGAAGACCCCTGTTCTAGGAGATGTTTTACTGTTCTGAATGGTTATCAACACCATGCTGTATATGTGTACTTAGAACTAAGCCCTATTGATTTCAATAAGACTTGCTCCCAAGTAAATACTCTAGTGCTCCAGATGTGTTGAATTTCAGCTTCATTCATTAGCAATCGTGATAGTCCAGTTGCCACACATCTGGAAGGCACAAGCTTTGGGAAGGCTGATATAGGAAATTACTCATATCTCTTCCTAGATTAAAATTAGATTTAATTCAGAAGGGAATGCATATTATGTTAAGCACCAACTAATACAGCATTCATGCACATCTGCTGGCAGTCTGACCTGGACAAATAAGGTCGACTTAATGAATCTTAATTTCAATGTTCAGTTCCAAACGCACATAAATAGCCACAATAAATGTTGTCTTATGTTCCAATGGATAAATAGCTTGTGCACACTAGGATGGATGCAAAGAAGAGACTTCTAAGATCAATGCTTTTCAAAAACAGCTCCCCTGATGCATTTTTTGACTCAATGATTCTCAGATCATGATTTTGGGGTCAGCAAAGCTGCCTGAGTTGGCAGCAGTTCCCAGGCTGGACTTGAATTATGGCTGACCATCTTGTCTCTAGAACAATAACTGACTCAAGGGGAGACTGTCTGGAGCTGCTGTTTGAGCTGTTTGGGAGGAGAATTCAACTGCAGTTGTGACATGAGGGATGTACACCAATGCCATTTAATAGTTTGTGTCTGTGTTTGCAGTTGTGAAGAGGCTTGACTTGAAAACTTCCTTACCTTGCATCTTGTGTGGATGGCTGTCCCTGTCTTAACCTATCTTGTCCTTCTCCCCACCTCTATTGTGTAAACTGTCTTTCTTCACTTTGTATACTGAAGAAGATAATTTGCAGGCATCTCCATTACGATTATTATTATTATTATTCCCTTGTTCTCCACTCTCTTTCTCCTCTTTGCTTTCTTTTCTTCCTTTGGTTTCCTTCCTGATGTGTGACCAGACTCAGACGCAGATGGAGCATGCTCGAATACGGGAGCTCGAACAGAGTCTCCTGTTTGAGAAGACCCAGGCAGCAAAGCTTCTCAGAGAATTGGAGGAAAGCAGGGTAATCCACCCAAACCCCTTCGCTGCCCGACCTCATGCTAGCCAATGCCTGCAGATCCAATTGCTTGCTGGCTATGTTGATAATTAAGCTTCCATGTTTCATGTTAACATCTTGTTTTGCTATTACTCCCCCGCTCCCCACAATCTCTTCTCCATTTCTCTGGAGATGGTAACACTTTGTAGTTTTGTCTTCTTGGTCTATTGGACAAATCCTTCCTTTGATTTCCATTCTGCAGCTTTTCATGCATATCATTTGGATTGGACTGACTTTGCCACTCATTATCCAGTTTAACAATAATCATTGGTTGAATACAGAAAGCTATTTATCTGATGATAGGTACTTGGCTTTGCGAGCAGTTTTATCTATTCATGGTAGTATCCCATAAATAAGAGGCTGTTGTTTTGTCTCTAACCTCACAATCGCACCCCGTTGGAAAGCAGGGAACTGGCACAATTTATTCTCCCTTTTTTTCCTCACCTGAACCCCCCCCCCCCCTCCAACTCTTTCCATACAATTCTCTGCACGTGACTTGACACTTGGTAAATGGCAATCTGTATTCACCCATCACCACTGCAGAGTTGCTTGGGACCCAGGAATTCTGCACCATAACTTAACTCTGCAGGTCCAGCATTTGGGAAAGCATGGTAAAAACAAGCATGTAGGCTTCCGGATTCTTATCCAAAGGAATGGTTTTAGAAACAGAGATAAAACTGGATCCCGGAAAATCTCTTTGCTATGCCTTTTTCATCGATCCCAGTTTAATCTAACTTAATTCATGAATAGCCTGCATGTTTTTAATTCTGGATCTTAGAGTACAAGAGGATCCTATAATTGCTCGTTTGGGTATTAACTCAGAATAGGCTTATAAGAGCTGTCTATCATGTATCATCAAGTCATATTCAAAGTCTTGAGTGTATTTCACACCTGGCACCCTACTTTGGTTCCTGTGGAGTCATACAAGGGAACAGGGGATTTGAAAGGCCCAATCAAGCTGCAGATAAGTGTAGTAGATACATAGGTATTAGGGCACATTAATAGTATCTCATGATAAAGATCCGTGGTGGCACAATGGTTAGAATGCAATATTGCAGGCTGATTCTGCCTGCAAGTTCGGCAGTTCAAGTCTCACCAGTTCAAGGTTGATCAGCCTTCCACCCTTCCGAGGTCGGTAAAATGAGGACCCAGAAAGTTGGGGGCCATATGCTGACTCTGTTAAACTGCTTAGAGAGGGCTGTAAAGCACTGTGAAGCGGTATATTAGTCTAAGTTCTATTGCTAAGTGCTATAACACCATGAACTAAAAAATGCCATCAGGCTTTATGGAAAGTTCAAGATAGGTCCTTTTTGTAGACTGTTTTCAAATTTGACAAATTTACCTAAATCCTACAAAAGATTCAGAAAAATATGAACTTTCCAAATTAAAATCCCACTCAGCAACTAGAATCAGGCATTCCGGATTTGGGGCTTAGTCTTCTAGGATGTTATATTTTTATGCGTAATGCTTAATCCCATAGTTAAACATAGCTTCTGAGTACCACTTTTTAAAAAAAGTTTATTCATTAGTCTTATTTTTATTAGATTTCTCCTAAGAGATTTCCCTTTATTTTGTCCCCACAACAGGATCCCCTTGAAGTATGTTGGACTTTAACGGCTGAAGATAGACTAGGGCAGGGGTCTTCAAACTTGGCCTTTTTATGGCTTGTGGACTTCAACTCCCAGAATTCCTCAGCCAGCATGGCTGGCTGAGGAATTCTGGGAGTTGAAGTCCAAAGTCATAAAAGGAGTAAGTTTGAAGACTCCTGGACTAGGGGTATGTTTCTTGTACAGGTAGTCCTTGATTTATGACCACAGTTGGGTCATAATTGTGGAATCTCTATTGCTAAGTAGGGCAGTTGTTAAGTGAGTTGTGCCCAATTTTACGATCTGTTTTTTCCACAGTTGTTAAGCAAATCACTACAGTCCTTAAGCAAATCCAGCTTCCCCCACTGGCTTTACTTTTTGGAAGCCAACTGGGAATGTCATAAATGACGATCATATGACCCTGGGACATGCAGCCATTGTAAATACCCTAATTTTGATCATGTGACTGTGGGGATGCCTGTTCCGGTTGCCATTCTCTTCAGGGCCATTAGAACTTTGAATGGTTGTTAAATGAATGGTTGAAAGTCGTGGAGTACTGTAGTTCAGAATTCCCCAATGTTTCCGGCTTTGCGGACTGGCGGGGGGAGGGGAGAGAGGCTGGTTCCACATGAGTGGCCAGCAAGCACGTGCACAATTCCATTTGCGTGAGTGGCATGCATGCGCGCCTGCCGCTCACTTAAATGGAGTATGTGCACGTCCTCTCACCTGCTGTTTGCACAAGTGAGGATGCATGTGCATGTGCGTGCGCTCACCAGCCATTTCTGCGGCCCGCTTGCAAACTTTTCACAGCCCATTAGTGGGCTGCGGCCCACAGGCTAGGGACCCCTGCTATAGTTCACCACCTGTAACAGTGTACCACATTGACTCTTGGGATTGGCTCAAAGTCTCCAGGGAAATTTCTGTGACTAAGGGAGACTAGATCCTGGATCTCCCACTCTTAGTCCAGCATGATGACCACTACACTATATTGGCTAAGAGAGAAGAAGAGAAGCTGAAAGTCACCCAGTGAATTTCTAAGGGAGAGAGAGGTTAACCGGAACCCAGGTCTCTCCTGTTCTAGTCCAACTTAGTCACTGTACCAACCACTGGTTCTCGACCCCATCTATAAATCTTTTGTGAAATCTGAAGTATCTTTAAAAGGAAAAGAAGCCTTTATGATGTGCAGTATTTTTAATTTGTGATTTTCACCTCTGATGATGCCAGGATTTACCCATGGTTTGCCACTGTTGTGATCAGGGATGTATGGTAATTTTGTTACTGGACATAGGACTCATATATACAAAAATGATTTAATTTTTGTTTGTTTCTTTCATTATTATCTCTATATACAAAACTGGGAAAGTGGCTTATTCACATAGTCCTTTGGAGTTTTTCTCCTAGTGTCTTTTATTATGATTTTGTTAGATTGAATTTGAATTATTGTTAAGTATCTGTAATTTTGCCTCAGGCTACTGGGGATGAGTGGAATTTAACTTCAAAAATAAATAAAAATAAATCAGGTTGTGCTGCTAGTACCCATTCTTCCCTCCAAAAAAAACCCTAAAAATTATCAGTACAAAAGGTAATGCCAATATGCATAAAACGGAGCTATACTAGTTCATAGGTATAGAGGAAGTAATTTCAAAACACAGTTGTTGTTCAAAATGGAGGGCTCACGTCTCTTTGTTATGTAGAAAAGTTTAATAATAATAATAATAATAATAATAATAATAATAATAATAGTAATAGTAATAGTAATAGTAATAGTAATAATAATAATAATAATAAAAAATAAAGTTGGAAGGGACCTTGGAGGTCATCGAGTCCAACCCCCTGCTCAGGCAGGAACCCTACACCATTTCAGACAAATGGCTGTCCAGTCTCTTCTTAAAAACTTCCAGTGTTGGAGCATTCACCGCTTCTGGAGGGAGGTTGTTCCACTGGTTAATTGTTCTAACTGTCAGGAAGTTTCTCCTTAGTTCTAAGTTGCTTCTCTCCTTGATCAGTTTCCATCCGTTGCTTCTCGTCCTGCCTTCAGGTGCCTTAGAGAATACCTTGACTCCCTCTTCTTTGTGGCAGCATCTGTGTAACTGCTGCTGTCCAGATGTTAACTCTCTCTAGGGGCAACTTAAAAGGCCTGTATTGATTTCTGTTCTTAAGATTTTTAGTTTTAAAACTGATTTGCTCCTTCTCACCAGTTGAGGAATTTTATGGGAATAAAAGTTTGGCTCTTTGGTTCTGCGAAAAGCATTTTTTGGGAGTGAATGAACGTTAGAACACTCTGGGCAATTTACTTCGTTTATTAATAAACTTTCAGAGAGGAAAAGAGTGTTCTGAGTTGGATATCGCTTAGGAAAATTCCTTCTCTTGATAAGGTTCGTCTATCACACTAAAATATAAAATATGGTTGGTTGGCTTATTTTCAGATTAGCATCTATAACCTAATCAGTGT